GATCTTGGTGAATTTGGATACTACTTTTTCGATATCTATATCGTCATCCGTGAATTCAGATGAATTGGTTTWCGTTTCGAGAAGGTTTGAGAATAGAGGCCAGTCAGGTTTTTTGAGGTTCCATTTTATTGTAGAGTAGTTCGTTTGATATGCAATAGAAATTAATTGTATAGAGATTGGAAGATGATCACTGTTATAAATTTCATTTAATACTTGCCAATGTAATCTTTGTGCTATGGTAGGTGTGGAGAACGTAACATCGATAGCTGAGAGGGTTCAATTGGAGGGATTTATTCTGGTTTGCTCGTTGTTATTAAGTATTACAATGTTATCTTGTTCTAATAATTCTTCTATGATTTTTCCTCTAGGGTCAGTTTTATATGAACCCCATGTGAGACTGTGGCTGTTAAAATCTCCGACAATTATAAAGGGTCGTGGTAATTGTTTGATAATATTCTCTAAATMAATAAGTGTAAAATTGAATTGATTTGGAATGTAGATATTACAGATGGTGGTTTTTGTTTCAAGTGTGATTGATATTGCTACAGCTTCTATGTTTGAATGGATTTCCTCCCAATGGAATGAGCTATTAATGAGTGTGCAAACACCGCCACTTGCCCTCAGACAGCCTCTACGGTTTTTAAATGCATATTGGTAGTTGTTTATATTAGGCGTAGATTCGTAAGATTTGAGATTAGTTTCTTGAAGATATATTGCGATAGGTTGATGTAAGTTTATTATAAGTTTAATTTCATCGATATTTTTATGGAGACCATTGAGGTTCCATTGAATAATGTGTTTTGGTTGTGTCTGCATTTTCGTGTTTATAAATGGTGATTTTTTTTTTTTTTGTGAAGAATGATTTTTGATTATTTGATTTCATTATATTAAAGAGCTATTGAGTCTTCAGAGTGACTCAAGCAGCAAATTGCATAGTCTCGTGAGCCTGTTTTTAATGCTAACGATTTTTATTTTTGGCCGGWTCGTGTCTAATATTTCAATCATTTCCATCGGCGTTATGTTAAATTGGTTTAATAGATTGGAAGGATCATACACGCTGAGGGAGTTTTCAATAATGTACTTGAGCTGAGGGAAGTCTATTTTTGGGTTGGGAATTCCTTCAAAGGCAGTTTTAGCTGGGGCTAGTGTTTCGTCTAGTTTAGCTACTATTTGTTCTATGGAGTTGGAGCGTTTAATTTTTTTGGCAGCGGGTTGAGGATTTGTCTTGGGGTTTTCGATGGTAGGTTTGATTATTTTAGTGTTATAAATTTGTGTAGGTGGTGTATTGTGTGTTACTTCTACATTTGCTTTTTTACCGATGGTTTGGGATTCTAATAGCTTTGTTGTGAGGTTACTATTATTAGTTTGATGGTTTTGCTTGTTATGTTAATAGGGCTCTCTGTAATGGATGCATTTTCGGTGTCGCTGGTACTGGTGTATGATGAGATCGGTCTTTTTTTGTGATCAGATAATTCCTGTGGGTGTATCCGCTTATTGGTACATTGTAGATTATTAAGTTCGATATTATGTTCTATGTTAGCACTGTCCTTATCCGTGGTATTTGACTCATTTTGTAAATTAGTATCTATAACAATTTCTTGGGATGTCGACGTAGAGTGGTTATTGCCATTAGTTAGAATCGTATTATCAAAATCTTTTTTACAGTGGTTTGACGTGTGACCAGTTTGTTTGTAGATATAGCATAATACGGTGTCATCCGAAAAGAATATGCGGTAATCGGTTTGATCGTAATTAATTAATAATGAACTCGGCAGTTTATGGATATCATCGGGGTGTAAATATACTTGTCGTCTAAAGCTGCCTATGTGCCCGTACTCGTCGTTTGAGGAACCGGCTTTCATAAAAGTAATGGGAGATAATATTTTAATGAGATTATCGTTAATACCTTTTATAATTATGTCATGCGGTATAGAAGGCTGCACATTGGAAATGATGATTCGTTTTGCCGGGTTRATKWGCCGACGATAAGCGATTTCTGTGTTGTTTATAACTATATACGATTGTTTTGAGATAATGTGATCGACGATACTCTTACTGGCGAAGTAAATACAAAATATATTGTTGGATATGCGCGAAGCAAATTTGATGTTATTAGACGAAGTTAGTTGGCTAAATGCTTTGATGTACTCGATTTGTGGGATGTCATTTAATGTATTGAAGATAATTGCTTGGTCTTTTTTCGGGAAAGATGAGATTGCTGTTRTTTCTGCGAATGTTTTGTGTGTGCTAAGTTGTGGATTGGGTGGCGTGAGTGAATWAGAGTTGTCCATGATGGASGTTGGTGTATWTAGGCGGAGGAGGTTGTTGTTACCTATTTGGTTATGTGGGGCCGTAGTATTACAACATACCTTCTTAATTGCAGTGTGTTGCGTAATGCGACGTATGTGTTACTGCTATCGGAAGCTAAGAAATGCGATAAGCGAAGACCGGGAACACACGTGTGTATCGGACCGGGGTAATACACGTACTGGAAGAATGTATTGATTTACTATGTTGTGTGTGTTTTTTTTTTTGTGTGTCTTTGTACAAGAGAACTTGTCGAAATAATGATTCGATTTTCAACTTCAGTAGCTTTTTGGGTTCGAAAGTGAATCTAGTTGTTTTATTGAGGAGATAATTTTTTGAAATTCCCAAAAGTTTTCAAAAGCACCGGGAAAAACCAAGAAAAATTAACGAAAAACGGGAATTTTTACGCAAAATCAAATTTTGATAAAATCGATTTTAGATATTGGTGTAACTCTAAAACTAATTACCGTAGAAACATGACATTTTTCACAGAATGTTTATACAGGCATTTTCTACACACGATAAAATTTTCAAATATTTTCAAATCTTATTAAGTTATTTATAGACATTTGAAATTTTCAATATTTTTAGTTTTTTATTCTATAAATGTCAATAAAACTTTATTTGTTGGGACAAAAAACTTGAAAATTTAATACAAGATTCCGCATAAGTTAATATAATAGCAAACAAAAAATATTAAAAATACATATCCACGCTTGGAGCGTTAGTAGCTTTTCTCGCATAGTTGATCAGCTGTTTAAATCCAACATTTAAGCGCACCACTTTCCATGTGTATGTGCATAGGGTCAATGAGTAACCTGTATATCTTAAATCGTGTCCATACATTATCTTGTATTAGTTATATTAGAGTGATAACAAGGTATATTTGAATATTTTTTTTATGTTTCTACTTAGGTATATAATTATAAAAAGAGTACCTATTTTTCTTTTACTATAAATATAATTTACAATAGACTTACTTGATTCTTATTTTATAATTGATAATTATTGTGTTATTAGTTATTTTTAAGTTATAATAATATACAGAACAATTATTCAATCTCATATTTGAAGAAAATTGCAACTGTTAGAAGGGCACYCACTGCTACACCACTGCTATATTGTTTTATTTGACATATTTAAAGTCATGGTTTAATAGTAGGAATTTTATTTTTATTTTAGTCTTATCAAATGAATGTCAACGATCCAATGATAAAGATAATTTGGATACTATAATTTTGCAGTGCGACAATAATTATAATGACTTTCAATTATGTTGTTTTGCTCATGTTACGGGAAGGTACTCATAAAAACAAATAAACTATTTTTTCGGGTTACTTTATTTAGTTAATGCAAATATCAATAAAATTATTAATTTTACGAAACTCGAATACGCGAGGCAGTGCACTCGTAGCACAGCACTAACGCGACTGACTACAAAAGGTACTGTCCAAGAAGACCGGTCCGGTGTCCGTGCTATTAATTTGATAACAATTTACAATAGTGATATAATATTATTACATAGTGCACCGAACATGCCRCCCACCTTGGAACATTAAGTTTTAACAGTTAATAAATTTAATACTAATTAGTATACAAGAAAAACGAGAAGAAAAAAAAATATATATAATAATAATCGAAACATTGTAAATCAAATCATGGCATAATAGAATTTAAATGTATTCGAGTTCGCTAGATACAACAAAATAAATTCAACCGGCTATGATACACGGTTAATAATACATAAATATAATAAATGCTTACAAGTATCTCAATAAATATAATACTTAACATGTATGATTAGCTAAAATTAAAACAAATAAAATCATAATAAATAATAAATAGGTACATAAATAATGATGCAGGGGGTCCCTCTTTTAAGCTTGAGTTGGTGGTTGATTGCCCTCGAAAGGAAGTGGACATAAATAACGAACGGCCCGAGAAAGCTCACCTTTACAAGTTTTTACCTTGGCCACCCGTACTTGTCCGTTGGAACCGTGAACGACCTCGATTACCCAGCCCATGGACCATTTGAGTGGAGGTGCATTGTCATCCCGAATTAGCACGACCGTACCAACTTCGAGTTTAGGTACACTAGAAGTCATCCATTTTGTTCTTTCATGGAGCTGCGTAAAGTAATCCCTTGTCCACCGGGCCCATAGTTGTTGCGCGAATTGAACAACTCGTCGCCACCTTGACAGCTGATTTGTCKGGAAATCCCTTTCATCGCGGTCGGGTAGCAAATTTAGCGCGTCACCAATAAGAAAGCGTCCGGGGGTGAGAACGGATAAGTCGGAAGGATGTGAGGATAAAGGAGTTAAAAGCCGTGAGTTTAAAATTGCCTCTACACGTATCAATATGGTAATTAATTCCTCAAAGGTGAGTGAGGCATTGCCTAACATCCGATATAAATGCGATTTTATCGACTTCACAGCCGCCTCCCAAAGGCCGCCGAAATGCGGAGATCGCGGCGGTATCTTAGTGCCATTGAATACTAGATTTGGACAATGTGTCTTGAATACGCTCTTGATGTTCCGTAGATTGAAAAAGTGTTCGCATTTCTTGTAGCTGACGGTTTGCGCCAACGAAATTCGTTGCGTTATCGGAATAAATGTCAGTACAAAATCCCCGTCTATCACAGAACCTTTGTAATGCACTTAAAAACGCTTGAGTGGTCAGGTCACCTACCAGTTCTATGTGCCCTGCTTTAGTAGTAAAGCAAAAAATAGACACGCATACGCTTTATTCAAAAGGGCATTTCGACGTAAGCTAGACTTTATAATAAATGGACCCGCAAAATCTACGCCTGTCTTTTTAAATGCCTGTGCCGGCCGTACACGAGCCTCTGGTAGGTCACCCATAATAGGTTTAACAACAGCAGGTCTATATTTAAAACACTTTACGCACCGATGTACCACGTGACGCGCAATATTTCGTCCGTTAAGTGGCCAATATTTTTGACGAACAGCTGATAAGACAGCTTGCTGGCCACCATGCATTAAGTTATCATGCCAGTATATAAATATTAATTTGGTGAAGACCCCTTTCGCTGGCAAAATAATTGGATGTTGTTGCGACTCATTTAGAGTAGATGCATTTCCCAAGCGACCACTCACCCGGATCAAATTATTTTTATCTAAAAATGGACGTAGTCGCAGCAATACACTTTTAGGGCTTACTTGGCTAGATTTGCATAAGTCTTGGATCTCGCTCGTAAAACTACTAGCCTGTACTAGCCTAATAATACTACTTTCAGCCTTATCTATTTCACCCGCTTGAAGTGCACCACTTAGCCTTTCTTTCTTCGACGCATTATGCATAAATCTGCGGCATAATGCAATAACACGTAGTAGTTTTAATAATGATGAGTATTTTTCCACAATCGACAAATCGTACTTAACAGTAGACAATACGTGCGATACTGTTCTAGCTTCCAATAAAGCTTCGTCCGCTTGACAATAAATATTTTTTTTCTTTGGCCAATCAGCATCCTCTTTATGCAGCCATAGAGGTCCTTTCCACCATAAGGTTAACTCACCGATTTTCGCTGGACAACAGCCACGCGAAACCATATCCGCCGGGTTATCTTTTGTGCAATCTTTTTCTTGGGAGGAATACAATTTATTTTTCACTACAGAAAAGATTTCGATTCTAAGGTACACCCCTTGTGTTGTGATATTATTTTTGGGTTGTTATGTGAATCTTATGTGAAGTTATTGGCCCAATAATTYTWWATGGATGTCAAATTTTATATTAAACGAAATATTAATAATCAGATTGCTAAGGTAACAAAATCAAATATATTATTTTTAAACGAACAATTTCATTYAGAAATAAATGCAGCGGATTTAATAAYCATATTACGACRGATTGATGATARGAATTTGGGAGATTTTTTTGCAAATTCGAAATTTGGAAGGTTACCTGTATCGGCTAAATTAGTTAAAAAATTTACTCTGTGCACATTATACGAAGTCAGATGTTTAAGTAAAGATGAATTTAATACGCTAACACCAATAGAAAGAAAATTTGAATTCATAATATCTCAGAAAACAGTATCGTGGATACTTTTGGTAGATAAATCGGAAGTAGTGGGTTTTTTTAAAATTTTGTAACATACATTGTGAAGAATCATCAACACTTGTTCAATTAAGAGAACTCGCAAAATCGGCTATAAAAACTTTTAGAGGTGGACTTCTTGATACTGAAGATAACGATTATTTTAAGGATAGTAGTGTAGATCTTACCTTTACTGAAAATAAGCAATCATTAGAGTTAGATAAAAGTCAGAAACAGTTTTACGAAAAAATTTATAGTGAACCAGATTCACCGCGGTTAGGATATAGAAAACAAAAATACCGATACTGTTGAAACTGGGGACGTGGCCCAACAGTTAAAAGATCTTTTAATAAACATAGAACAAACACTTTCACCAATTAAAAATATTGAGCAATCAGATAATTTAAAACTTGAATCTGAAAAAGTAAATCTAAGTATTAACTTGAATGCTGGTTTAAAAATAATTAATAACAATACACAGGATATCCATTGTTTACAGTCATTAGAGGATAAAATAGACACCAAAAGCGAACTTTTTTCTAACATTAAAACGATTGTTAATACAAATACATTAACGTCAAAAAATAAAATGGCAAGACCGCAACAATTTGYCCCAAATATTTTTAACGGTTCGGGTGATGAATGCGTTTTAGAATTTTTTGAGTACTTCAACGTGGTAGCTACTGCTAATGATTGGTCTCCGCAAATATAATTAACTTACTTGCCACTGTATTTAAAAAATTAGCTTATAAATTATACAAAACTTTAACAATTGATAATTTAAATCCTACTTTTGATGAAATAGAACGAATATTTAAGGGAAAATTTGCTCACCAGCTAGGAATCGTATATTAAGAAACAAATTACGAAATAAAAAATTAAAATCGACAGAAACAATATTGGAATTCTTGGCGGATATTTTATATTTAATTAGTCAAACTAATTGTACCATTCCTGAGACAGAGAAAATTGACATAATATTAGAGGCACTAACACCAGAATACTAYAACACAGTAACTATTATGAATAATGACCCATTAGACAACTTGGAAACTAATTTAAAGAAAATAGAAAATTCAAAATTGATGAATACAGATTTCCAAAGTATAAATTCGGTAGATATTGACAGCTTAAAAAAAGAAAATGCATTTTTGAAATCTAAATTAAATAGTTTTAACAATGGTAATAGAAATGTTAACCAGAAAAAGAAATTTATTAATAACATACATGGGAATAGTTCATATCAAATAATCCAAACGATACATTCAGTAATAATAATATGTGCAATTACAGCCCATACAATAATAACAACAATTTTAATAATCAAAATTACAATGCAAATAAATCATTTATTCCGAACAATTATTATAATAATCGGAGCTATCACCCAAATCATACGTTTTATCCAAATAATAACTTTAGTGCAAACAACGGAATTATGCCAAACCAATATAATATGAATAATAATAATTACTTTAATCAAAAAAAAAATTATAATCCCCCAAACAATTTTAATAATAATAACAGTTATACGGAACCAAAGTGGAATAATAGATATAAGAATATTCCCAACCAAAAAAGTCTGTCACAGCAATATTATAAAAATAATGCTTATAATACTAATCAAGGGGCGAATTCTAACAAACATTATGTAGGCCAAATTTATCAAATTCCATCGCATAATACAAATGGTAATAGGCAAAATGTAGACGTAAATAATGTGATGAATCAGCACGCTATTGGTCAGATGCCTGACAATAATACATTTAATCCTAATAAAACATATCATAATAATCAAAAAAACTAGTAAGGCGAGAGAGAGTGGTTAGGCTCCCTCTATACCAACAAAAAAATTCTACCGAAACAATCGAAATCAATTCCGATATAAAAGTGTTGGAATCAATAATTGCGAAGAAATATATAGATAATGAAACCACGCAGAAAGTGAAATACTTAAAACTTAACAATAGGCATAATACAATCGATACTAATGAAAAAAACCTAGACGATTATAATATAAGTAGTTTATTCAATGAAAATATAATACCAAAATTGAGTGACCATAATATTCAAAATAATTTCAAAAATAAAAATGTAATAACTGCTGAACAGCAACAAAATAATGGCGACACAATAAACAAATACATAACAACGTGTAATCCTACTTCGCTTCCGGCTGCATTTGAACCAGGTCAGAGACTTGAAGTAGTAGGCAAAATTAATAACATAGAATATAATTTTGTAATAGACACAGGAGCCACCGCGTCTATAATTAATGCTGACAATTTACCTATAGGAATAACTCYAAAAGCAATAGATTGCGTAAAGCTAATTACGGCAAACGGCTCAAATTTAAAACTACTTGGTATCATTAATACCGTTATTATTTTTGAAAATATTAAATTTCCTATATAATGCATGGTAGTTGAGAATTTAGTAGGACCTAGTTTAATAGGCACGGATTTCTTAAAATTGTATCAAGCGAAAATTAATTTTGTTAATAAACAGATAATTTTAACAGGTGATAGTTATTTTAGAGTTCGATAAAAACCGCATAACTTCGGAAAATATTAAATTGAAAATTAAAAAAAAATAGTTAATAAACCTTTATTGAATAAAGATAAGGATGATAACGTTGAAACTGAAAAACTTAGGAATTTATTAATCATCCAGCCGAGGTTACGTAGCATTGTTAGGTGTAGCCATAAGTTGATTGAGGTCCCTGGAGATGGATTCTGTGGTATTTATGCGTTGACAGTGATGCTCGCACATGAAAATATTTATGTAACSGCGGAAACAATATCTCATTTGCTTGACTTAAATTTGCATGAAAAACCAATTTGGTTAGAGGGTGAGGATTTATCAGCAATAGCTGAGTTTTATAATAAATTATAATTTAATTATTATATGTCCGAATTTCGAAAATCATAATAAAACAGCAGGTTTAGGGTTTTATAAACCAGGTAGAAAATTTCTAGTAGTTTTTTTTGAAAATAATCATTGGACACCGGGATGTTATGATAAAAATTATGATAATCCAAACCTAGAAGTGACACAAGTTACATTTACGCATGATTTTCGTTCTCTTCATACTTCTCGTGCCCTATTAAGGGAGAGGAAAATGTTAGCAGCCATTAACGAGGTACTAAATAATGAGAACGACCTGAAACGAGCTAATTGTCCATTGACCGATTTGCGTTAAGTAAAACACATTTCATTCAATTTAAACAATCCAAATATTCATAGCCAAGATAGGAAATATACTAAACCATATACTACATTTAAAAAAGTTGACAGGAATCTACCTGACGATCGCCACGTAAATAGTAACATTAAATTTGATATTAATCCAAATCTGAATGAATCACAGAAAAGTAAATTATTATCCTTGCTACAAAAATACGAATCTGTGTTCTCGAAATCTAWGTRGRACTTGGGAGATTCAAAAACTGAACCAGTAGACATTTTTTTAACCAAAAATATTCCAATTAATCTCCCGAATTTCAAATTAAGTAAGTTTGAGAGGGATGAAATTGAAGAACAAACACAAGAAATGCTTAAAGCGGGAATAATTGAACCATCGAATTCACCATACTCATTTCCAATTTTTTTAGTACCCAAAGGCAAACCACAAGGTTCAAAGAAAGAAAAGTCATCAGCACAATATAGAATGGTATTAGATTATAGAAAACTAAATGATATAACTATTAAAGAATCTTTTCCACTTCCAGTTATTTAAAGTATTTACGACTGTCTGGCGGGAAATGAATTTTTTTCTTGTATGTACGCTATGTCGGGTTTTCATCAACTTAAATTAAGTGAAAAGGCTAAAGAGCTAACAGCGTTTTGTACTACA